TTATTGTCTAAATGCTACTGCTTATATACTCAGTGTGAGGTTCCTGATGACTATGTTGTTTTTCTTTTTTTCTTTTCTTTTTTTTCCTGAAGTAGGCAGATGGATTCAAAGTCCTATTCAGGCTCAGGTTCTATCCCTTTGCCAACACAAAAGGTAGCAACATATTCTTTCATTAGGAGGCATTTATTGTATTTATCTCTATTGTAATGGTTTCAGCCTAGATACATTCGTTCATATGGCATAAAAATGATACTATTCCAGTTTTATAGTTTAAAAATGGTAAACTATAAGTACATAAAAAGTATTTCCTCTCACTATTTGATTGTCCAATACTCCAGTTTGTATATAAAAGGTAGGATGTATACGTTTGGCTCTTTATCTTTATCTCTAATTGTCAATATAATGAATCAGTTCCCAGATTTATCTCCAAAATTCAGAAAAAGCTCATTGATTTTAATAAAAGTTTTTGACTAATTTGAAACCATTATATAGTTTCTCTTATTAGTGCTCAAATTTCCCCACCTTTGACCAGTGGATGCTTAATTTTAGCCCAAAACTTTTTGACATTACTCTAGACATCTTTGTTAACTTCTTTTCTATTGAGGACCACGACAAAGTATTTTCTTTTCTTTTTCAGTTTTAATTGAGTTTATTGTTACATTTTAGGGATACAGTACAGCTACATTCATTGTTGGGATCTTGTACCTCTACAAGACAAGTCAAAAAAATGACAAAGTATTTTCTAAAAATTCATATATTTATTTTCCCAATCCTAGAAGCAGCCATTCCTCTAAGAGACTTTAATACTCTATTCAGTGGGAATGATATTTCTAATCTGGTGTTAGAGGTGCTCAATGTTATTAAGTTGTTAACATCTTCTCAAACTTTTTAATGGACAGACCTTCAATATGTGTTTGTAGGCAGCAACAGAACTCTATCTAAGTAAACAATAATAGTGCCAGATTAAATTCAGGATCACAGAATTTTGAGTTAAGTATTTTATATCTATATCTCATTTGCTCTACTCAGAGAACAATGATTCACTTGGACAAAGGAAACTGTAAAATCGGAAGATATTATGATGGTATAGTTCTTACGCTGCACTCTTTTAACTCATTTTTTATACTTCAACAAATAATCGTGTATTTAGTCCTTCTTGCCAGTTGGTAGATCGATATCTGTCCATTCAGAAGCCGTGTTATACTTCTGCAGCGACTTGTCTAGTAGATGCTTCAGTAAATGCCTATGGAAATAGTAATCTTCTTACACACTTTTTA